AACAGATACAGTAAGTTATGTACAGGGAGGGGGATCATACAGATCTCATCTCCTCCATACAACCTGACAGTATAACAGATACAGTAAGTTATGTACAGGGAGGAGAAACATACAGATCTCATCTCCTCCATATAACCTGACAGTATAACAGATACAGTAAGTTATGTACAGGGAGGGGGTTCATACAGATCTCATCTCCTCCATATATCCTGACAGTATAACAGATACAGTAAGGTATGTACAGGGAGGGGGATCATACAGATATCATCTCCTCCATACAACCTGACAGTATAACCGATACAGTAAGTTATGTACAGGGGGGAGAAACATACAGATCTCATCTGCTCCATATAACCTGACAGTATAACAGATACAGTAAGGTATGTACAGGGAGGGGGATCATACAGATCCCATCTCCTCCATACAACCTGACAGAATAACAGATACAGTAAGTTATGTACAGGGAAGGGGATCATACAGATCTCATCTCCTCCATACAACCTGACAGTATAACATACAACCTGACAGTATAACAAAAGCATTTTGATTTTAAAAGATTACACTGAGTTTGATTTTGATGAACCACATCCCAAACAAGCTTTAACAACACCTAATTTTGGAATTATTGCTTTATATTTGCTTTCCAGGATACCACCCAGCCATACAGCCCAGGGGTCCCAGGGAGCCAGGAGGCAGGTTTGGCCTTCACTACCTTCAGTAACCCCATGTATTTCAAAGGGGATAAACAGGGAGAGAAATCCAGCCCACCTCCGTCCCCATCCACCAATCAGTCAGGAAGTGATGCTGAGCAGGAAAACGCTTCATTTGATGACATAAATTTCAATGGTGACAGCACGTAACCACAGCAACAGTTGCCAAGGAAACTATATTACCAAAGAGACTCATGTGTGCCACATTTTATATGAACATCTTCTGATTTAATTTTTATAATAAAAAAATATAAACTTGTATAGCTGCTTGTTATTATATAGGCCCTGGTTCATGGCTGCGAGCAGGAAAAAAAAATGAAAAAATTATCTCGACTTCAGATTCTATTGGTTAGCTCCCCTCATTAAAACTCCTTGGACCTGCTCTATTGGTCACCTCCTCTTATTAAAACTCCAAGTCCCCTCATTAAAACTCCTTGGACCTGCTCTATTGGTTAGTTCCCCTCATTAAACCCCTTGGACCTGCTCTATTGGTTAGCTCCCCTCATTAAAACTCCTTGGACCTGCTCTGCACCATTTGTAGACCCTTACAGAGCCATGCAGCTTCTAAATTATCGTCACTCCTCTTCAGCGTGGTAATTGAGACCATTGGCCAGGATTGCCAGTTTTACAAGAAGATGTCCAGTCATGTGACAAGCATATGTCTACTGTTTATGGATATACGAATCAAGGGGAAGAGCGTTCCATCTGCTTCGCTCCATATGGTGAAGCTCAGGATTTATATCTTTGCGCCAGCTTTGGACGTATGGGGACAGATTTTGGTCCAAGCTCATAAGACATACATGTATTCCAAACAGACAACACAAACACACAGAATCGAAATAAAATTATTTATTTACAATTTATTGATCGTTCCAATATATACAATTAATTTCCAACCAGAGAGTGATATGTAATTATGTATTAGGTATATGCACCAAAATATAACAAGTCGAGCTACATTCTATATACAATGGAGTGTGAAAGTGATCACAAAAATATATCTACTGGCTGTTATAATAAAATATACAATCTATACTGTACACCAACAAACAAGGCGACCCCAACTCAAGGTGGGAACTCTCACCAGGGGTCTGACCCTTGACCCCAGGTATGACCTGAGGAATCAGGCCCATTTACATGTGAACTCTTGACTCCTTGAATGATCCCCGATAGTGTGACCTCTGACCTTCGGTGTGGGGCCCATCCACGGGGGTGAGCTGACTCCTGGTTGGTTATAAAGAGTGCCCCCCCCCCCCCAGTTTTTTAGACTGACTTCAGTGTGTACCTCTGATACCAAAGTAGGTTAGATTCCTGTTTGTAGGTGTTTACAATAAATAGCATGCCTTGTATTATTGTAAAAAAATTAAATATAATTACGACGTATAGTTATATGTTCTCTTAAACCATTTCATTTATACCCAAGTCTTTGCAGCCTGTGATTTTGCTTGAAAAATTCAGGTAAATAGTTTTGTAATCAAAAGTACACAGAATGGTGAGAGAACAGCATCCTGCACTTTTTACAAGGTTTGATTACGTGCGTCTGTTAATATTTGGCAAATCTGGATACGGACAGAAAACAAACATGGGTGTGGGAATATTTTGGAGGTTATAAAAAGATATGATAACATTGTATGTACAGTGTCCCAAGCTCTGCATAGTTAAAATACTGGGATCCTCACTTACCTAGGTTCCAGTCGCCTCACGAAGTTTTACCTACTTACAGCCCTGTACATATCTCTGTACACTTCAAGAAACAATCTCATTAGAAGTGTGCTGCTGTCAGGTGTGTCAATGGAAACAGGAACACCTCACTAGAAATGTGCTGCTGTCAGGGGTGTCAATGGGAACAGGAACACCTCACTAGAAGTGTGTTGCTGTCAGGTGTGTCAAAGGGAACAGGAAAACCTCATTGGAAGTGTGCTGCTGTCAGGTGTGTCAATGGGAAAAGGAAAACCTCATTAGAAGTGTGCTGCTGTCAGGTGTGTCAATGGGAAAAGGAAAACCTCATTAGAAGTGTGCTGCTGTCAGGTGTGTCAATGGGAACGGGAACACCTCACTAGAAGTGTGCTGCTGTCAGGTGTGTCAATGGAAACAGGAACACCTCACTAGAAATGTGCTGCTGTCAGGGGTGTCAATGGGAACAGGAACACCTCACTAGAAGTGTGTTGCTGTCAGGTGTGTCAAAGGGAACAGGAAAACCTCATTGGAAGTGTGCTGCTGTCAGGTGTGTCAATGGGAAAAGGAAAACCTCATTAGAAGTGTGCTGCTGTCAGGTGTGTCAATGGGAACGGGAACACCTCACTAGAAGTGTGCTGCTGTCAGGTGTGACAATGGGAACAGGAACACCTCACTAGAAGTGTGTTGCTGTCAGGTGTGTCAATGGGAACAGGAACACCTCATTAGAAGTGTGCTGCTGTCAGGTGTGACAATGGGAACAGGAACACCTCACTAGAATTGTGTTGCTGTCAGGTGTGTCAAAGGGAACAGGAAAACCTCATTAGAAGTGTGCTGCTGTCAGGTGTGTCAAAGGAAACAGGAAAACCTCATTAGAAGAGTGCTGCTGTCAGGTTTGACAAGGGGAACAGGAACACCTCACTAGAAATGTGCTGCTGCCAGGTGTGACAATGGGAACAGGAACCCCTCACTAGAAGTGTGTTGCTGTCAGGGGGGTCAATGGGACCAGGAAAACCTCATTAGAAGTTTGCTGCTGTCAGGTGTGTCAATTGAAACAGGAACTCCTCACTAGAATTGTGTTGCTGTCAGGTGTGTCAATGGAAACAGGAAAACCTCATTAGAAGTGTGCTGCTGTCAGGTTTGACAATGGGAACAGGAACACCTCACTAGAAGTGTGTTGCTGTCAGGTGTGTCAATGGGACCAGGAAAACCTCATTAGAAGTGTGCTGCTGTCAGGTGTGTCAATGGGAAAAGGAAAACCTCATTAGAAGTGTGCTGCTGTCAGGTGTGACAATGGGAACAGGAAAACCTCACTAGAAGTGTGCTGCTGTCAGGTGTGACAATGGGACCAGGACCACCTCACCAGAACTGTGCTGCTGTCAGGTGTGACAATGGGAACAGGAAAACCTCACTAGAAGTGTGCTGCTGTCAGGTGTGTCAATGGTAACAGGAAAACCTCATTAGAAGAGTGCTGCTGTCAGGTTTGACAATGGGAACAGGAACACCTCTCTAGAAGTGTGTTGCTGTCAGGTGTGTCAATGGGAACAGGAAAACCTCATTAGAAGTGTGCTGCTGTCAGGTGTGTCAATGGGAACAGGAGAACCTCATTAGAAGTGTGCTGCTGTCAGGTGTGTCAATGGGACCAGGAAAACCTCATTAGAAGTGTGCTGCTGTCAGGTGTGACAATGGGAACAGGAACACCTCACTAGAAGTGTGCTGCTGTCAGGTGTGTCAATGGGAACATGAATACATAGCTGCCAATTCAATCAAGTGTTGAGGAAAAACAAGACAAAAACTGGGTAATGTACCTGTGATTTATGTAGAGCTCAGACATAAAATTATCATAGATGTCTTACAAGTAGAGCTCAGACATAAAATTATCATAGATGTCTTACAAGTAGAGCTCACACATAAAACTGGAATACCAACAATAAAACAAGATAATTTAAAGTCAACAGCAAAACAGAAAACAGGTAATAGGATGAAATAAGAAAAACAGGGTAAGGTTATGTTTTTAATATTGAAATGAGAATTTAGGTCAGTACCAGATACAATAAAATAAGGCAAACAGGATCAGGTTAGGCCAACAGAATGACAGTACATAGACAAGTAGGACCCTGGGACCAGTAGGACCAGGAACCAGTAGACAAGTAGGACCCTGGGACCAGTAGACCAGTAGGACCCTGGGACCAGTAGGACCAGGAACCAGTAGACCAGTAGGACCCTGGGATCAGTAGACCAGTAAGACCAGTAGGACCAGTAGACCAGTAGACCAGTAAGACCAGTGGGACCAGTGGGACCAGTAGACCAGTAGACCAGTAGGACCAGTAGGATCAGTAGACCAGTGGGACCAGTAGGACCAGTAGACCAGTAGGACCAGTAGACCAGTGGGACCAGTGGGACCAGTAGACCAGTGTAAAAACTGGACCAGTAGGACCAGTAGACCAGTGGGACCAGTAGGACCAGTAGACCAGTAGGACCAGTAGACCAGTGGGACCAGTGGGACCAGTAGACCAGTAGACCAGTAGGACCAGTAGGATCAGTAGACCAGTGGGACCAGTAGGACCAGTAGACCAGTGGGACCAGTAGACCAGTAGGACCAGTAGACCAGTAGGACCAGTAGACCAGTAAGACCAGTAGGACCCTGGGACCAGTAGACCACTAGGACCCTGGGACCAGTAGACCAGTAGACCAGTAGAACCCTGGGACCAGTAGGACCCTGGGACCAGTAGGACCCTGGGACCAGTAGACCAGTAGGACCAGTAGACCAGTAGAACCCTGGGACCAGTAGGACCAGTAGCACTTGCCTTTCAGCTGTATATTTTTTACATGAAAATGATTTGTATAAGACAAATAAAATGATTTACGAATACACAAAACCAACAAAAAATAACAAGAAAACAACCACATCCTCCATTATAATGATATTACGGGACCATGAATGCACTGGGTCCTTCCATGTGCAACATGTTTATTCACTATTTGAAGAAAAATCCTTCTTTCTAGAATAAGGAAAGGAGAAGGATGAGAATGACCTGGTATAATTGTTTAAGTATGTCTTTTCTGGTCACGAATAAGTATTTATAGTTACAGTTAATTCAAATCTTCTTAATCCAAGTAATTCATTAATACAAGTACACCAATTAATACAAGTACACCAATTAATACAAGAACACTAATTAATTCTTTGATCATTTTCTGTGTGCTTTAAACTGCCATGATAGTCGGTAAATATGCTCTCCCTATATGTCCACGGTTCACCACAAAAAGGGCATAAGATTGAAATGAAAATGCTCTGCAAAATAAAACCCAGCTACTTTGATCTGGTAATATATCCCAATTATCTTACCACTGACAGATGTTCAACTAAGCATTGTTTATTAATGTCAATATGAGGAATATTGAGGCTCATGGAACACAAACCATTCCTTAGTACAAACAATTATTGAAACTTTCTAAAAAAAAAAAAAAAGTAAAAACTTAAAGAACGCCTCTCCGATAAATCAAGAATCTTATTCAATGTTTACCAGTTTTTCTTTTGTCTAACAAAAATAAAAATAAAGATTGAAACTTGTATTGTTATTAGTAGTAATAAACATATATTGTTGATATTGTATTCCACATACATTTCTACTTAATACTGGAATTCCTTGTTACAATTTCATTTTATTCAAACCTTGTTTATACTTCCCAGTCTGGGTACGGACTAAATGGTCACTAGTAGATCATGACCCCATAGCATATGGGTATGGAATAAAAGGTCACAGGTCATGACCCCATAGCATATGGGTATGGAATAAAAGGTCACAGGTCATGACCCCATAGCATATGGGTATGGAATAAAAGGTCACTAGGTCATGACCCCTTAGCATATGGGTATGGAATAAAAGGTCACAGGTCATGACCCCATAGCATATGGGTATGGAATAAAAGGTCACAGGTCATGACCCCATAGCATGTGTACAGGTATGGAATAAAAGGTCACAGGTCATGACCCCTGATGTGGAGTCAGTCAGATGATAAACCTTGGTGAATAGTGGAGGAACAGAGTGAAGGATCTGAATTTGATCAGAATATATATTTCATGTCATTATTCTAATTCCTTATTAATCCTTGTTCAGCTAATGATAATAAAACAAAATAAATCACATTCGTTGAATTATATAATGAACATGATAAATAACAATTGATGAAACAAACGAGGACCTGGTGAACTTGTAAGGCTATAATTAGTACCATAATAATCCAACGGCTTAAACCAGAATCTGGTTCTTATTGTAACCATTAAAAACAGGAAAAATTGTAGTGGTTTGTTTTTAAGCTAGCATTGACTGTGAACAACCTGGTTAGGTTACCTTGGTAGACTGTGAACAACCTGGTAAAGTTACCTTGGTAGACAATGAACAACCTGGTAAAGTTACCTTGGTAGACTGTGAACAACCTATTTAGGTTACCTTGGTAGACTGTGAACAACCTGGTAAAGTTACCTTGGTAGACTGTGAACAACCTGGTTAGGTTACCTTGGTAGACTGTGAACAACCTGGTTAGGTTACCTTGGTAGACTGTGAACAACCTGGTAAAGTTACCTTGGTAGACAATGAACAACCTGGTAAAGTTACCTTGGTAGACTGTGAACAACCTATTTAGGTTACCTTGGTAGACTGTGAACAACCTGGTAAAGTTACCTTGGTAGACTGTGAACAACCTGGTTAGGTTACCTTGGTAGACTGTGAACAACCTGGTTAGGTTACCTTGGTAGACTGTGAACAACCTGGTAAAGTTACCTTGGTAGACTGTGAACAACCTGGTTAACATTTATTGGACCAAAAATAACGATAATTTAATGCATATTTGGGAGAAAAGCTTTCAGACAGAATGAGACATCACATCAAATCCTTATGATCAGACTAAAAACATTCCATCCGAAGTGAATAAGGCAAACATGTGGTGATTGGCTTATGTTGTGCGGTGACCTTGTGAAGGTCAAGGTCAGAGCATATCCTCCGGTGACATCTGCCAAAAGGCTTGAACCTTCATTAGCAGAAAAACTTGAAAACAAGTTCTAAGTCTTCCTGTCTGTCTGCTGTTGAAGAGTTCATATACAAAACAATGTTCACCATTTCTTGTTATAGCAGGCCATGCCCTGAGCCTTTGTTGACCTTGGTGACCTTGAACTCCTGTGACCTCTCAGTATACCCAGTTGATGGGGACCCATTGGGATTCAGTGCCGAGGTCGTTGAGTGCCATCCTCAGCTGTTTATAGGCATCCTCAAAACTGTCGTTGACAATGGTCATGTCAAACAAACCCTTATAGACACGTTCAATCTGGGCACTCTCCTCCACAGCCTTACGGTAATCATCGTCCTGTAACAACCAGGTAGGCATGTGTACAGTGTGGTACAGTAATCACACATTTCACAGTAGAGCTTTACTGATATCTATTACCTAAACCAAATCTAACATTACATAGTAGAGCTTTACTGATATCTATAACCTGAATCAAGTCTAACATTTCACAGTAGAGTTATACTGATATCTATAACCTGAATCAAGTCTAACATTTCACAGTAGAGTTATACTGATATCTATAACCTGAATCAAGTCTAACATTTCACAGTAGAGTTATACTGATATCTATAACCTGAATCAAGACTAACATTTCACAGTAGAGTTATACTGATATCTATAACCTGAATCAAATCTAACATTTCTTAGTAGAGCTTTACTGATATCTATAACCTAAATCAAATCTAACATTTAATAGTAGAGTTATACCGATATCTATAACCTGAATCAAGTCTAACATTTCATAGTAGAGCTTTACTGATATCTATAACCTAAATCAAATCTAACATTTAATAGTAGAGTTATACCGATATCTATAACCTGAATCAAGTCTAACATTTCATAGTAGAGCTTTACTGATATCTATAACCTAAATCAAATCTAACATTTAATAGTAGAGTTATACCGATATCTATAACCTGAATCAAATCTAACATTTCATAATAGAGTTATACTGATATCTATAACCTGAATCAAATCTAACGTTTCATAGTAGAGTTATACTGATATCTATAACCTAAATCAAATCTAACATTTCATAGTAGAGTTTAACTGATCTCTATTACCTAAACCAAATCTTAACATTTCACAGTAGAGCTTTACTGATATCTATAACCTGAATCAAATCTAACATTTCTTAGTAGAGCTTTACTGATATCTATAACCTAAATCAAGTCTAACATTTCATAGTAGAGTTATACTGATATCTCTAACCTGAATCAAATCTAACATTTCATAGTAGAGCTTTACTGATATCTATAACCTGAATCAAATCTAACATTTCTTAGTAGAGCTTTACTGATATCTATAACCTAAATCAAGTCTAACATTTCATAGTAGAGTTATACCGATATCTATAACCTGAATCAAGTCTAACATTTCACAGTAGAGTTATACTGATATCTATAACCTGAATCAAGTCTAACATTTCATAGTAGAGCTTTACTGATATCTAGAACCTGAATCAAATCTAACATTTCATAGTAGAGTTATACTGATATCTATAACCTGAATCAAGTCTAACATTTCACAGTAGAGTTATACTGATATCTATAACCTGAATCAAATCTAACGTTTCATAGTAGAGTTATACTGATATCTATAACCTAAATCGAGTCTAACATTTCATAGTAGAGTTATACTGATATCTCTAACCTGAATCAAATCTAACATTTCATAGTAGAGTTTTACTGATATCTATTACCTAAACCAAATCTAACATTTCATAGTAGAGTTTAACTGATATCTATTACCTAAACCAAATCTTAACATTTCACAGTAGAGCTTTACTGATATCTATAACCTAAATCAAATCTAACATTTCATAGTAGAGTTATACCGATATCTATAACCTGAATCAAGTCTAACATTTCA